CAAATCGATAATGTTGAGAAAAATAGGATTTTCGTTTTCATGTCTCTAAAAATATAAGACTTCTCAGAATAGACAGGCTCAAAGTATTGAAAATTGTTTGGTGCTTGTCCATTTTTATCACAGAACACTGATGACAGCTATCACAAGCACAGAAGCCGCTTGGTCACTTGTTACGTTTTATGATTATACAGGATGTTTCTGTAAGTCGTGACATAAATTTTTAATTAATGTGAAATGACCCAAAAAACACGTTAAAAATAAAAAGAAAGTGCGGAAAAGTGACTAACACTAAATTAACTGCATTTAAAACTTCTATTATATGATAACTAACTTCAGGTTTAAAATGTCAACCTCAATTTTGACATATTTGTAATCTTCATTAAAAATCCTTTAAAATGAGTACAAACACGACATATTTATCTTCAATATTAATGAAGTTATAATCAACTTCCGGTTAAGAATGTCAACGTCAATTTTGACATATTTGTAATCGTCGTGAAAAATCCTTTGAAATGAATCCAAACATGATACTTTTAATTCCAATATTACTCGAGATATAATCAACTTCCGGTTTGAAATGTCAATGTCATTTTGACATATTCTTAATTTTTATAAAATGTCTTAATGTCTGTCACAAAAAAATAATATAATAAAAAAAAATAAAAAATTAAGGTTGGTATTAACATTTAAATATTAAATTGCTATCTTCATTGTTGCTAATTTCGTGTTTAATGTTTTTTATTCCAACTTTTTTGTTTTTTGAGATAAGTGCGTCATCTTTGGACTCATTTTAAAGGTTTTTTAATGAAGATGTCAAATATGTCAAAATTGACGTTGACGTTTCAAACCGGAAGTGATTGTATTTCCGTTAATATTACAGTTAAATATGTCGAGTTTGGACTCATTTTAAAGGATTTTTTATGAAGTTGACAAATATGTCAAAATTAATAGATGAATGTTCGAACTTTTTGGTTTTTGAGATAAATGCGTCATGTTTGGACTTATTTTAAAGATTATTTTATCAAGATTACGAATATAATAATAAAATTAAAGTTGACATTGGCAACTGAAAGTTTTTTCTCGACTAAACCCGAATGTTTCTAGTTCTAAGGTTGAATTAGAACGAAGTTTTAGTTCAATTCTTGCCTATTACCGCCATCTAGCGTCATATGTCATACATTTCCACGTCTTAAATTTACAAAAACCTTTATTTTATTTTGTAGAGTATTTACATATGTATATAAAAATTATATCAAAAATAAAACCTTATGGAACATAACATAAAAATCAAGGAGAATCGAGAAATTAAAACATTTTATTTTTTGAACCAAATTCAAATCGGATCTTACCTGATATGGTAAGCTGGTTGTCGTGATTTTCTTGTACGGTCCCGTGCACATAAGGGCCGGTGGTTGAACATACCCACGTGGTCCTGTCGCCCACGTGTCCCCAGATGTCCCTGGCGCTACCACCACCTCCGCTGTTCCTGTGACATATAGAACGAACGAAACGATTTAAAAGTATCCCGATTGAGATGTCAGTTGAAATTATTACCACGAAGAACCGTATTTGGCTCGATTCGGTTTAAAAAACCCATTCGTAGTAGAGAATTCACGTGGATAGAGAACGTGGATCACGACAAACGTTTTGCAATATCAGTCCGTTCTAGTCTATTATGCGATTTATTGGTGGTTTTAAGTTTAATGGGAGAGATTTTGTAATTTTGTTGAAATGGAATAAGTTTTAACACCATCTATTAGTAGAATGCTCTATTAAAAATTAAGATAACACAGTAATCTTATTTATTTACTAAAATTTTTTTGAAAATGGGTTTTCAAAGAATCCACTTTGTCATCATTAAGAAAACGCTGAATGAGTAGCTGAGAGTGCGTCATTATGCTCTGAAATTGGTTGTAATTTCAGATCATCACACTCCTCGATTCACACTAACGCCTGTGTAATTTCAGCCGACATAAAAAAAATAAAAAAATCTCTTCTCGATCACTTCACTTCCGTCGTCGCGCTTCTAATCATTTTCGGAGTTGAATTACATTTATTTAGCCTCACCATTGGCGGCGTATTATAATTTTCTAAGCATAAATTACATCATATAAAAAGAGTTTTTTCATGGTTTGAGTTCAATGACTTTTTCTTATAATGAAAAAACTTTCGACTGGTCGAGATTTTTTTATTATTTTATAAATCACGACCAATATCCATAAAACAGAAGATTAAACGGATGTTTAATGGTGCACGCAAAACGCGTTTTAATTCGTGTTCGTTTTGCGATACCACTTTTAAACGAGTTGTAAAGAGTTTTGACCCTCAAGAAATAGTTATGATATTTAACAAGAATTGTAAGGAGTTAAAACGTTAAATAAATATAAAAATCATTTTTGACTTTTTGGGCTTAGCTTGGAGTAATTCTTGACGTTAGCAAAAATTTTATTATCTCTCAATCAATGTTGCAGTAATAATCAACTAAGTAATTTGAGATGATATAAATTTGTACTTACATTAGAATATTTTCTAAAATAAATTCAAAATCATTTGCTAGAAACAATATCTTGTCCACTTCCTGTCACCATCATCACTCAACACCGAACACATTGAGCACAACGTATTTCATCACAACGCGATTATCGGTGATTGTCTCAACGTCTCGACGATCAAGACTGAGACTGAACTCATTGCAGAAGAGGAGTTCTTGTCCGGAGGTAAAGAAGGTACGCTGGCCTTTTGAGTGCCCTCGCCGCGGAGATCTCTCGCGAATGAACGCGGAGACGGTGTGGTACAGATGGGCACAGGTGCTGGGCCGCGGAGGCTGCATCTTCTTCTTCTTCCTTTCAGTCTTGTGGTCTTTTTCTCTTTTGTCCTTTTTTCGTTTTTGTCTTATGCCGCGAGGAGGCCGATGGCACGTTGTCGTGACAAATTGGCGCGGAATTCCACGGCAGGAAACGAATCCAGACTCAGAGTATGGTTTAAAGAAACGAGAGAGTTTAAAAAAAAGAAAAGTAGTCCTTCTTTATGATTCTTCTTTATTTCTTCTTTATTTATTCTTAAGCCGCCTGAAGAAGAAGAATGGAGACGTAGAGGAGTTTACGTCTTACTTGTACGTGGCTCGGAATTATTTCTTTTTTTGCTACTTGAAGAATTACAGTGATTACGTTAAAGTTAATTGGTATAACGGTTTAAAATTATCTGGTTTATTTTTCAGGATGATCATTTCATTAATTTAACTTTAAAAGTACTACTTCCTGTACAGGCTGTAACTAATGGTTTTCTAACAATAAGCAATAAGACGTTTTGCGGCTGCTGCGGCCACGGCAAATTACACACGGTTTATCTTAGAAATCGTGGTGCACTCCTTATACGGATTACTGATTAAGCTTTACGCTTTCCCATATACGTTCCTTCTCATCAGATTCAATCTGTTACCTGCAAAATTCTATCTTATTGTGGTATTTGTGGCCATTAAAGTTTTTTTTATTTTTTGCAATAGTTCATAATATTACAGTAGTTGTTAACGTTGCGGTGGCTTTCTATTTCTAACCCTATGTTTTGATGTTGACAGTAATTGTATAATATTAGGTTCATTTTAATTTATGAACCTTCAGAGTGTGTTATTTATCCAATGATTTATTACGACACCATAACAAAAAATTTAATTTTTTAAATTTCTCAGAATTTTTTGGTCGTTTTGACCCGAACATTTTATTTAGTAGAACAATACATCTCCTCAAGGCTTTTTAAGCCACGATTGCGATAAAATCTTCACTGTACCGCTACATCTATAGATTCATAGACATAACAGCATTAGAGTGGTATCATTGTAAATTACAGGTTTACACAACAATGAAATTTACGAGATGATTAAACAAAATTTTTTTGGAACACTTAAAATACTCGATAATTGAACCCTTACAAAGAAAACTCCGTTAATTGAACCTTTATCCCATAAATGTAAATTTACACACGCCTATAATCATCAATTATAATTCAATTTCCGGTTAGTGTGAATAATGACGGTTATTGCACAAAAACGATTAATCAAACACGCGTATATTTTTTGTACAATTTTTATTTCTTGTCTTAGAAGAAGACGTATGGGCCATCATCGAGAAAATGCTAACTCATTCTTATTGTACGCCTCCGGGTGTATCAACGAAAGGCGTTAAGACGTCCGGCTGTGAATAACAGGCTACTGTGAGGCTCGTTTGCTACTATTACTACTACTACAATTAGCCATAAATTGATCCTATGTCCAAGAGTAGCGATTACGTTAAATCATAGCCAGGCATCCGTGTTAAAATACGGTGATACGTTGATGGTTGTAAACTATCGATATTTTATGGGACTGTTTGAGATAATTTATGTTGACAACGTGTGTAGGTGGGATGTCTGAATTAATTTAGATATCCATAATTCATTGTACATTAGCAAAATGTTTCAAATTGTCAAAATTGGTTAACCTCAAAATTTAAAACGTCATATTTAAAACGTCAAAATGACGTTTTAACTTAATAATTAAATAAATATTTTTTTTTAATTTTTTTTATAATATACCTTTTTAATTTTTTTATTTACTTAATCAGTGTAAAACCTAATATATTATTTTTTTTAATATTCATCCGATTCTTTTATAAAAGTAATTAAAATTGATCATATTAAGCCGATAAAGTAGTTTTCAATACGACCAAATACGACTTTACCGACAATAACAACAACATAACCTAATTTTAACCTAAGTTATTTGTTTAATAAAAGTTAATTATTTTCAAACTTACATTATTATTAAGTCTGAATCCATAAAATTAACATCAGAAATACCACCATATACTGAAAAAAAGCTAATCAAATTAATAGAATAGATAGTTATTTTTTAATATTAACGAAATGGAATGGTAAATTGTGCAGATAATATGAAGTTTGTATAGGTAAATAGTAGTAGTATCAATATATTTGTAATATACTTATACTTTAAGATTTATTTATATTTTTTATTCCAAAAGAACAAGTAATGATTCTTCTTGGAGGAAAGCACAAGAGTGCAAATAAGAGACCGAGATGCAATAAATATGCAATACAGTGTTTGGGAGTCTTTGAGGAGTTTATTTGCTGGAAGTAGTGAAAAAATGTTCAGCCAATACACCCTTATGTAATCTCTGCAAGGTAATTGGTTCTGTAAAGAAGAAATATGACATAGGCTAAGAAGTTTATAACGAATTTTATTTGTTGTAGATAAAGAGAGGAACATGCTACAGATGTAGGCATACAATAAAATGAATGTGTTATATCAATGATAAAGATCAACAGAAAATGAGTGCATATCTGAGAAAAAAGTAGTGAATATTATGTATGTAATACATATATGTAGCAATTTATAATTCATTAAAAATGTTTGATCAAAAAAAGAAAAGTACATGGTGCCATCTCTTAGATAAACAGGTGAATATTTTTTAAACCAATATTTGGGACTTAAAACTCATAGAATCGTCTAGATTTCAATAATAATCATATAAAATCTAATTAAAATAAACAAAGGGACGAAATTAATTATTCTCTTAAAAGTTAATAATTAATAGGTTAGGTCTGCAAATACTTGTATTCCTTAATAATAATTAATTTAATAGCAGTTAATATTTAATTTCATTCAGGTAAAGTTGAATTCTATATAAAATATATTATTTCTTTACAAATAAAGAGAATTCTATGACATTAACTAAAAAATTTGAGAGATATCTGAACTGTCAAATGAAATTTCAAGTTAGTTTTGCTACTTATCGAGAGATGTCGCTGAGATCTTTAATAATCGCTTTATCTTAAATGTTATTGTTTTTCTTCTTTGTGATATAACATTTTATGTTATAAAATGATATACTTAAATTCAAAAAATAACAATTTTATAACTTGTAACATAAAATATCTAGTACAATTTTATTATTTAACCGGAGACATTTACTGTAAAACTATCAAATTGATAAAAAAATTTCATTGAATCTATTTTTAATGTTAAATTTTATTATATTCCGTTTTTGAAATATGACGATTAAAATTTCGTTGACGCGAAATATATAATTCATTCGATTTCGTCGACGTTATAACACATTAAATTTAATATAATGCGACAACAAAATTTGATTGCGTTTGTTCGATTGTCGCGGAAAATTATAATTGGTTTGTTTAAACAACACGGGGCAGCCGCTTCTCGACGCATACCGTTCTCGTTAATTCGTAAAAACGGTTTTAAACTGTTGTGCGTGAAAAAATTACGCTCTGTTCGCAACAGTTAACGTCAATTCCGCATAAAAATTAATATTTTGTGGTCGAGTGGAACGAGTACAAATTTGAAAATACACTTGACAGGAGTCGAAATAAAAAGCATGAAAAACATGAATAATAACGTTTACGTAATAGTTGTTATTTTGGTTTTTTTGCTTTGCAAAAAAAATTTTTGATCAATATTCTTTTTTGTTTGGAATAATTAATCATTAAAATGTAACAGTCTCTAATTGAATGTATGACACGTCCGGTTATGAATCTATTAAGATTTGAATCAGGCGCGGCTCTGTTTTGTGGTTTCGAAAGATAGCGATCTGGAAGAGAGTGAATGGGGCGGAGTGAAATGCACGGCGCTGTCTGTGTGGGGCGGCAATCACAATAATTAGATATTTAAATTGGGGCTGCAGACCCTTGACTGTTAATGTGATTAGCACGGGAGTTACTTGTTCGGAGCACGTCATTCAATCCAGAGCTTTCATTTCCATATCAGTGGAAAAGAAAATTGAGTGCTACCAAAAAAAAAAGATTACATAGTTAGATGATATTTAGTATATCAAAATTGAAAATTGAAAAGAAGTCGTCTTGAGAATTCAGTTCAATCAGGCAAAAAGTCATAACTTTATTACTATATTTTCGAAGTCGCATACATTCGTAAAATACACTCAGTCGAAGGCCACCAATAACATCGATGATTGGAAAACATCAAGGTGGGTTATGCATGATGAGATGAGCTGGATTCGTCATTTTATGAATTCTGTTCCGGGAGGAAGTTTTATGACCCTCATCCCTCTTTGATCCGGTCCCATCCGGTTCTTATGACATTTGGATATTACCATTTTTACTGGCGATTTCTTTAAAACCCCATCCCTTTACATAGGAATCCATCTTTTCGGTATTGAGTATTGAATATTTTATTCGAAGCACTTTTTCTATTGAAAATCCCATCATTATGTATCTGTGACTAAAATGATAAACCTAAATGGTTAAAGCAGCTTGTGTTTCACACCGTCGACAATAGGAGCGTGATTGCCGAAGGATAATCCTGGGATTACCACACCGCGATTGACAGGACCTTACCACATACAATGTACCCTACGGGCTTTTGTTATATTTGTTATTCCTCCCCTTTTTGTAAATTATTCCAAAAACTCGTTCACTTGTCGTTTTATTTACGACAAAAACACACACGTGTCGCTTGTTAATATAATCTCCTTTAAGTAACAACATTTTGATCCACATTTATTGTCTAAGTTAATTCTGGTAAAGAATGAATATTAATGAAATCGTTAATTAAGTCGTCCCTAATTAATCCGTCGACATCTACTTTGTAATCTCGACAATTTGTCACTAGTAGTTTCCGCCCTTCTGTGTTCTGCTACAAGAAGTGTCCTCGAGCGCGCACGAAATAACCCCGACATCAGCTGAATGAGGAGGGTGGAAATATTTTGACACTGAGTTACAAATGAGGAACCACGACTACATTAACTTTTTTATGTATTACAATGCCGGTATCTGATCTCTAACGTTACTAATTGAAAGTGATCTCATTAATATTATTCTATTTACTAATTCTGTAAATATTTAAAATAGTTTTTGGTTATCCAACTGTGTGTGTATTTAGGGTTGCGCGTAAAGTGGTTATACGAGCTATAAATTTTTGGCTAGACGGGCAGTTAAGCAATTAAACCCTTAATCGGAGTTTATTTCATTTCGGAGCTTTTATTGGTTTTTCTATGAGCTTCGTAATAAGTTATTATTATCGTTCATTTAACAACCCTTGATGGGTTTGTTAATGCAACGCGCTTTTTATATCATAATTTTTTATGAAAAATTTAATATTATACTAAATTCTCGATATAACGGATTAAGACGGGTATGCAAGAGTGTGTTATAGCTAAAAATTCGTTATATAAAAAAAATTTCAGCTAATATTAGCACTTGAACTAACACTAGACATAGAATTAGAAACATTTGGGTTTAGCCGAACGTCTCTTAAGACGGCTAAACCCGAATATATTATAGTATTAGTTCTAATAACAATGTTAGTGTAAAATCAGAACTAACACTATACCTAGAACTAGAAACTTTCGGGTTTTGCCGTGCGTCTTTTAATAAAAGGTGTAACGTTTCGGATGCCATGTTGCAACCTTCTTCAGAAACTGGTTCGAAGTAACGAGATCAAAAAATCGGTAACTATATATAAGTCGGAAAAACTAATTAATAATCAGTTAATGCTAATTACAAACTAATTAATAACTAATTGCGTCGCGTCCGGTGTGAGGCGGGAAGAGGTCTTCGTGTTCACCACCATCTTCCATGTTCTGCTAGGCCATCCTCTCTGTTGACCAGAGGCGGCGCTAGCCCCCTTGGCGCCCCTATGCAGATCTTAGAAAATGCGCCCTTCTAAAAATGTTTAAAAAATTTTCAGTACCGTTTAAATTTGCATATTTCCAGTATTACTTATATTAAATACTAAAATAAAAAGCAATAGCAGATACTACATTTATTATCAACGAGTATCGGACAATGGTTTTAATGTTAAATTTGGTACACATTTTTTCAAAATATCCCATCGTTTAGTTGATGCCGAAAAAAAATTATATATTTCTTGAACAATTCCGAAAAACGTAATAGTTTGGTGGTTGCAGTTAGCGGCATCCTTGACTACTAAATTTAGGGAGTGAGCAGAACAAGGGGTAAAGTAAGCTCTGGAATTAATATTTAAGATGTGTCTCTGTAATCCATTGTTTTTCCCTTTCATGTTCGCACCATTGTCATAACCTTGGCCACGCAAGTTGCTGATGTCTAAATTAAATTCTTTAATTTTTTCTATTATATAATTGGTTAAACCTTCACCAGTTGAATCTTTGATGTCAATGAAACCAAGAAAATGTTCTTGAATCTGAACTTGGTCATCAGTTGACACAAATCTTATAATAATGGTCATTTGCTCAGTATTACTGATATCCGGAGTACAATCCAATACAATTGAAAAATATTTTGCCTTTTGAATTAACAATAAAATCTTTTCTTTAATTTTTTTAGCTAATAAAGCAATTAATTCATTCTTTTGTAACGTTTTTTGAAGATGACTAGACATAGTCACATCAAATTTTGCCAGTAATTGTACAAGTTGTAAAAAATTTCCATTATTTCTAACAAATAATTGATCTGATTTTCCTCTCAAGGGAAGACATTGTTTACATAAATATTTTATAATTTCAATAAATCTTTCTAAAATCGCACGCCAGTGCTGTTTTTCCAACTCAAATAATTTTTCTTGTTGTTGATCAATTGTTCGTTTTGATTTCAACGCACGTTCTAAATGAACCCATTGTTTAAAGTTGTTTAAATGAGCTAAAGATGTTTCATGACTATGTAAAGTTTGTGACAAATTTTGCCATTTAGAATATCCAGTTGTAATTAGGCGGCTTGTATTAATATTCTCCAATGAGTGACAGGTAAACAATTTACAGCAAAAACAAAATACGCTATTGCTTTTTTCCGAGTACATTAACCAGTCTCTAGGAACAGATTCCGAATTTGGCATTTTACGATAATAATATGTATCGCTGAATTTTCTTCCGTTATCGTCAGATGGGTACAATACGTTTTGTTTCTTTGTCGGTCCGAGTTGAATTAAAAGTTTTCTTACTTTTTCATTTATTGGAGGCCATGTAGCTGGATCTTGAAGATTGTTCAAAACATCTAATGTTGGTGTATCATCAGAAATCAGAAATTTTGTTGATGTGGATAAGGTTTCTTCGGAAGATGCTCCCTGCGGTTCGATTTCAGGTTCAGGAGATTTAGTATGTTGTGCGCTTTTGTCTGCAGAATGGCTTTGAGATGCCGGTAGTTGATCTTCACGTAGATTTTCATTCGAAGGAACTGGTAAAACTTCATTTTTTGTCATCAAATATTTCTTTATATCGTCTCTTTGTTTTTCCAACTCCAATTCTCTGGTCGCTTTTCGTTTTCGATTTCGATATCCGGAAAGTTTTTTCGACATTTTTAGGTGACAACTACAGGTTATTTTTTAATTTCATAAATTTAATGTAAATATAACACCTAACATAAACTTACCTATTTACGGATGAACAATTCACAAATAAACAATGGATTTCGAGAGAAGATACACTT